GACCTTCCTAACGAGCAGCCGAATGAAGACGTGGTTCCAACCGAAGGGATCATGGCAGCCGAGAATGAGCTTCCTCTTGAGACCGGTCTTCGAGTTGGTGATGATGCAGCTTTCGATGCTGAAATTGATGAACTTTTCTCTTAATTTTGTACTCTTTTCTCTGTAACCGAACTAAGCCCCCTTGTAATGACTTCTCTTTGAATGAAAATTTTACTTCAATTCTTATTCCGGTTTATGCCCATGTAATGATTTCTCTTTGAATGAAAATTTTACGCAACTCTTATTCCGGAAGTATGCCCATGTAATGATTTCTCTTTGAATGAAAATTTTACGCAACTCTTATTCCGGAAGTATGCCCATGTAATGATTTCTCTTTGAATGAAAATTTTACGCAACTCTTATTCCGGAAGTATGCCCATGTAATGATTTCTCTTTGAATGAAAATTTTACGCAACTCTTATTCCGGAAGTATGCCCATGTAATGATTTCTCTTTGAATGAAAATTTTACGCAACTCTTATTCCGGAAGTATGCCCATGTAATGATTTCTCTTTGAATGAAAATTTTACGCAACTCTTATTCCGGAAGTATGCCCATGTAATGATTTCTCTTTGAATGAAAATTTTACGCAACTCTTATTCCGGAAGTATGCCCATGTAATGATTTCTCTTTGAATGGGCTGAAGAGTAACAAGTGTTGGTTTATTCCAGCCAACCACTCTTCAGCCTTACGCTTACTTCGGCTGAAGAGTAACAAGTGTTGGTTTATTCCGGCCAACCACTCTTCAGCCATACACTTACTTCGGCTGAAGAGCAACAAGTGTTGGTTTATTCCAGCCAACCACTCTTCAGCCATTCACTTACTTCGGTTGAAGAGTAACAAGTGTTGGTTTATTCCAGCCAACCACTCTTCAGCCATACACTTACTTCGGCTGAAGAGTAACAAGTGTTGGTTTATTCCAGCCAACCACTCTTCAGCCATTTACTTACTTCGGCTGAAGAGTAACAAGTGTTGGTTTATTCCAGCCAACCACTCTTCAGCCATACACTTACTTCGGCTGAAGAGTAACAAGTGTTGGTTTATTCCAGCCAACCACTCTTCAGCCATTCACTTGCTTCGGCTGAAGAGTAACAAGTGTTGGTTTATTCCAGCCAACCACTATTCAGCCATTCACTTACTTCGGCTGAAGAGTAACAAGTGTTGGTTTATTCCAGCCAACCACTCTTCAGCCATTCACTTACTTCGGCTGAAGAGTAACAAATGTTGGTTTATTCCAGCCAACCATCGAAGTTAGTTTTTCCAGCTAACTTAAAGTATTTGGTTATTCCGACCAAATGTCTTGCAGCCTAGATCCTTATCCTGGGTTTAGGAAGGGTGTTGGTTTATTCTAGCCAACATCTAAGTTTGTTTTTCCGGCTAACTTAGAATGAAAATGCTTGCAATGCGCCTAATCTTTACTAAAGCTAACTTTTACAAGGAACAACTTGTGCTAAAAAGAATTTCTCATTTTATTGAAGGAAGAGAAAATTACATGTGTTTGAAAAAGAAAAGTTTAAAAGTAAAACAACTTGAGATTGGCCGTATTCCATGGCCTAGGGATTGCCTTGCACTTGGACTCATTAGTCGGTTGACATAAATGTGTGATTTATGTGATTGTATCAGTGTTGGCCATCTATCAATTGCTAATATTTTAGTCATTGTTCATGGTTGGTTTAGTGTATTTCTACTGGGCTGTGGCTCACCCTATATGGGAATATCATTTTCAGGTGCAGGAAGCATGCCACCTCCAAGGACATAGCTTGGGAGGCTAAGACGGACATAATGGTGTCGTTTTACTTTTTGATGTATTACATGTAAATACAAGCCAAGGGCTTAATGTGTATGAGTTAGTACTCTTTTGGTTGTAACTAAGTGTTAACTTGGAAAGCTGTAAGCCTGTAGGGTATTTGCTTTTGTTGTTAACATGTAATACTTTTTGTAATGAAACTCTGAGGAATGAAAGAATGTGGAACTTTTGAATATCAATGCTTGTCTTATTTGTTGGGTTTAATGTTATTATTTTGAGGGCGTTACACTGCAAGCTCTGCTTGTGCTTTCATTGTTAAGTATCTTGCAGAGTTACCTCAAATCTATCAAGGAGTTTACAAGGGTATGTATGTTCCTAATTTTACTGTATTTTATTTGACCATCTCGGGTGCCTCTAAATGGGATGATTATTCAGTATTTCCGGAGTATCGATACGTGGTGCTCCATAAAGTTTTGATTGGTAGAGAGGGGTAAGGGCCCATGATTTATGTTGGGGATGAGGGAACAACATGGGGCTAAGTAATTGGTGATTGGTTTGGAGTATGGCATAGTGTTCCGAAATTATTGAATAATTTCCCCTCTAAATGCACCGCTCAAAAATTAATAATGCCATTTTGGAATTGAAATGATCTGAATCCACTAGCTAGATGTATATTTTCATCTAATGTGAACCTCATTATACTCACATATACATTTGATTTCTTTTTTTTTTCTGTAATATTTGTTGTGTGTAGACGTGAAGCATTAGTTATCTTATTATTGTACTTTTAACTTATCATATAATGTTACTTATCGAAAAATTACTTAATATTTAAATATATTATAGAGAATAACATACAAAGATATTGGGTCCAGGATCAATTTGAAGATAAATAATAATTATTTTTCTTTTATTATGAATTTTTTTGTTATATTGAGTTTGTTATTACTTCTATTATGGGCTTTCTTTCGTGCTAATTTTTGTGCTTATAGATATGTGTTGATATATTGTCTAAATTAATGTAATTCAATTTATATTTAAAAATAATTTATTATTAATTGATTAAAATATATGATAAAAAAAATTAAGTTTATATAGCTTTGGCCAAATTTAAAAATAGAAAATCATGTGAATCAAGTCATTTGTTGAGTTGACTGAATCGAATCAGATGAGAGAATTACTAAGGCCAAGGTGGTTCAAGCTTTATTTTGTTGTTTTTTGGTTGGAATCGAATTTTGCATTTAACTTTAGAATAAATAAATTCCCAATGTATCATTCCATGTGGATGTGCAACAATTTTTATAGTGAACTCTTTGTTTTTGATGCATTAATTTTTTTTTTGGATCTCTGTCAATATATATATATATATTTTTTCACCTCAAAATAAATTTATTTTTTATTAAGAATTTTATTAACATTAAAAAAGTGATACATAAAAAATATGTGATCTTTTAAATTTTTTAAAAAAACTTACATGTTATCATTTTATTAATATTTTCACTGAATTGAAGTGGAAATACAATTTGGAGAAAGTCCAGTCCAAAACAATTAGATCTGTGGTATCTTATTTTGGTGATTTAAGATGTTATTTTTTAGATATTTTTTGTATAGTTTATATACATAAAAAAAATAATTTAATTCAATAATCGTAAAGAAGATTTACCCATAAATCTCATATGAGAGAATGTTGATTCATTTAGTCCTAAGAGTTTTTTTATGAACCAATTAGTCCTTTTTGTTTTGAAAAGTTATATTTATTTGATTTGGTGCCATTTGAGTTTAAGTGAATATCTTTTTGTGATTCATTTTTTCAATTTTCTGATTCATTTTTGGTATGACAATGGAAATGTGAGGTGTGGAAGATTCTTTTTGGAGGGATTAGTGGCTGAAGTGTTAGTTGTTAAGTATGAAAATCTACATTTCTGTTAATATGATTTTCTAGTGTTACATTGTAGTGTTACATTAGAGTATTATATTTGAAAAAAATACGCTGAGTTTTTGTGTGTTATATTGATTAGAGTGTTGCATTTGAAAAAAATACACAAATAAGTTTTTCTAAAATGTTACATTATTATATTTGAGAAAAGTACACTAAGGAGGTTTTTAGTATGTAACATTGGAGTGTTACGTTTAAAAAAAGCCCACTAAAGACTTTTTGTGTGTTATATTAATTAGATTGTTACGTTTTGAAAAAGTACTTTAAGAAGTTTTGTGGATGTTACATTATTATGTTTGAGAAAAATACACTAAGGAATTCTTTAGTGTATTACATTAGATTTTTATGTTTTTTTAGTGTTGTGTCAGAGTGTTACGTTTAGGAAAAGTAAACTAAGGAATTTTTTTTGAAGTGTTACGTTTAGTAATTTCAACATTATAAGAAAACTCACATTTGTCTCTCAACAAGTAATATACGTGCATTTATACTTGGCCCTTTATATACTTCACACCAGAATGAGACTTTTAGGTGTATAAGAAAAAATGGAAGACCAAACAATTTATAAAATCACTACTTGAGATTTATTGGTACTTCACCCTAATCATAACTACACAATTTCATTTAATTGGTCTTTTAGAAAAGGGTAAATTACAAATACACACCCAAGGTTTAATTAAAATATGAATCGCCCATGTGATTCTGGAAATTACATTCCATTCTATGAGGTTTTTAATTTTATAACAAATCGCCTCTTTTATTAATAAATCATCACGTCAATTAAAATATGAATCGCTCATGTGGTTCTGGAAATTCCATTCCATTCCATGATGTTTCTAATTTTATAACAAATAGCCTCTTATATTAATAAATATCAAGTCAATTAACAGTTTTTAATGATATTAGAAATATGTTTCAATTAATAATTTAATAATATTATTATTTTATAAGAGAGCAATTATGAATTTCATTTTTAATTAATTCTGTTAAATAAAAAATTCTAATAAGGAGATATTTAAAAAATTTTAAACCACAAGGGACAATTTGTACTTTAAACAAACTTTAGGGGTGTGTTTGTATTTTACCCTTTAGAAAAAAATTATGATATAGATTTAATTTTAACAAGTAAAGATGTAATGCTTAAAGGAGGAATGCTAGAGTAGAAAAGTAAGAGTTCCCAAAAGCTCCATATGAATTGTTGAATTGGGATGACAAGTATAGTTTTTATGATTTTAACATAATTTCAATTTTTTTTTTTTTTTTGTGTAAACATGCAAAGCAAATGGACATTGCAAAATCGAAAGGTCTTGGTGAATTATTAAATTGGGATGACATTCAAAAGATGAAATTATCTTGGAATGTAGCTTGTGAAGTGTTGAGACTTGCACCACCTGTTCAAGGTGCTTTCAGAGATGTCTTGACTGATTTCATGCACGAAGGCCTCCGTATCCCAAAGGGTTGGAAGGTACACTACCTACTTCATAAGTTAATTATCATTTCTTCTAGTTGCATAGAAATTATGAGAGAGTAGTATTTAATTATGTGATAAGTTTATGTGTTTATAGATTTTTTCTATAATAAATGCCAAAATTTAATCGTTAAGTTATTATTCACATTTCTTGTTTGTTGTTAAATTTTAAATGTTTGTATATATGTAGATATATTGGAACACGCACTCAACTCATAAAAATCCATAATATTTCTCGAAACCATATAAATTCGATCCATCGAGATTTCAAAGAAGAGGACCAGCGCCTTACACGTTTGTACCATTTGGAGGAGGGCCGAGGATGTGCCCTAGAAAAGAGTATGCTCGTTTGGAAATATTGGTATTCATGCACAACCTTGTCAAGAGGTTTCAAGTGGGAGAAATTGATTCCCGATGAGAAGATTGTTGTTAATCCCATGCCTATCCCCGAGAAGGGTCTTCCCATTCAACTATTTCCCTATTAATTAAATTAAAAACTTAAATATATTGGTTCTGCTCAACTCGACTCAACTTAATAAAGTCTCTGTCTTCGATGATTCTATCACAAGCATTTCTCTAGCTGTACATAAGCCAAGCTTGTACCTAAACTTTTTCTTTTTTCTTTCTTTCTTGTATTTGTCCTTATATTATTTACCTTATGTAGTTTTGTTATTATATTGTGTTACTTCATTAAGATTGTGTATTTGACTAGTTTTAATTATGTAGTAACAACAATTTTAGTAGTAATTAATATTTAGCAAGTCACATACAAAAGTTGAGGTCTTATTTGAATAACATGATCAGCTGAAACGCAACTATTGATTTTCAAATTGAATATATTATTGTATTTTAACACTTGATGTTATGGTGGTTTAGAATCACCACCATCATTTGGAAAAACAAATCTTTAATATGCTTTATGGTCTGTTAGGAAATGGATTTTATATTTCAGCTCTTATTGAGTTGTTACAATAATTATTGGTGAATATAATTGTTGGAAATGGTAACGAGTGTCGATTTTTTAGGTGGGCCCCGAGTGTCGATTTACTCGGGTCAAAGTGGTAACGCATTCTATGCCGCGTTGTGATTCACGTGGTATATTTGGTTTCTCAAAACCATTACCGAGTGAATGGGAAATTGAAGCCAAAGTGTGCTCCATGGAAATGGAGTTTTGGTGGAAATTCCTTAAGGTGGTAAATTGGCTTATCCCACATTGATTTGGTGGGAAGTTTTGAAAGGGTTTATAAGGCTTAGGGTGAGATACTTGGGGTGTGCCCCAAGGGGTACCCAAGTGTTTTAGAGAGAGAGTTTATGGGCAAAATGGGCTAGACCCATTGGACCCAAAAATCACCACACGCGCGCCGCCGTCCGTCCGCGTCCGGGGTCACGTGGTGGGGTTGGGCTTCTAATCTTTTTGGGCCAAAAACATTTGAATTTAATTTTATTTTTTTCTAATTTTTTTGGGCCAAAAATAAAACATATCCAAACAGGCCCTTCCCGTTTTCAAACAGAATTAAACTGTTTTGGATTTATTGCTCATCCAAACAGAACCCTTCCCGTCCGGTTGGGCTTTTAATCTTTTTGGGCCAAAAAACATATCCAAACAGGCCCTTCCCGTTTTCAAACAGAATTAAACTGTTTTGGATTTATGGCTCATCCAAACAGAGCCCTTCTGTTTTGGATTTATTGCTCATCCAAACAGAGCCTTTCTCGTTTCTATCTGTTTGAATAAACAGATTCAAATCTGTTTAAATTTGAATCTAGCAGGTTTCATACCTGTTCAATTCAAAACCAAAAGCCACCTTTACATCTATAAATAGACTAGCCTCCCATTTGAATTTTATTCCAATTTTCGTACTCCATCCTCTGCTGATTATATTCTTCATTTTGCTGCATTTTATTTCCGAAAGAAAGAGTTTAAACACTTAGTGTGTTCGTAAGGCAAACAGTTAGTAGTGCTGCTATTGTTTGTGGTAGATCATTTCATCCTGGGAGATAGACGTCCGAATTCTGAAAGCACCGTGGAGAGGACGAATCTGTCTTAAGGACACAGTGTTAAACACTGGACTTGATCAGAAAAGTTATTCAAATAAATTAACCAAGTAAGTTGTTTAATTTTATTCTGTCTTTATTTGTTTATTTAATCAGATTTTAATTTTGTTTTTGTAACAAAATAAAATCTGTAGTTTTATTTATTTATTTTTATTTCGTGTTTGATTTTTGTAATCAAACAAGTTCTCTCCTTTTCTTTATTTCTTTAAATTCCATTTGTTGTTGTGTACACAATAGAATTAAATCTTTTAAATACAGTGAAGATTGTCCAACAATAAGTCCTCTCAATTCCAAGCAAGTTTCAATCTTCCCTCCAATTATTTAAATTTGCCCTTTTGGTATGCAGCATTGTTTTTACGGTGTGTTTTCTTTTAATGAGTAATGAATTATCAAAAATGCTTTTTCAATAAGTAATGAATCAATTGCTAGCTGCATCGAATGCACAAAATTTCGGTCTTACATTTGATAGTCTAATTTAGAAATAGGTTCATATTACTCAGTTTCTCAAATTCTTTTCCAATTTCAGCAATACAATGAGTTACATCACTCGAATCATTTTGGTGACAAAATATATCTATTATATGCTTGCAGGGCCCTGCAACTCCTGAGAAATTTGAACATGCCATATCATCAAAGATTACAAAACATGACCAGTCACTAATGCTTCTCAAGGTACTTGCTAGACTTTTTGATTTTGTAGTATGCTCCTATTATTACAACAATCCACACCTCAAATGTATTATTAACCTACAAATGCAGAGAAGCAACTCAAAATCAATTGCCCGGGTGATCATTCATCAAGACAAGGAACATAACGATTGGATGGGGTTGGACCACCAAATGGATGAAGGATCATGGGACCAAAAGCGGCGTCATGGTTTCACTTCAGATCAATGTAATCATAGCTTTAGCACTTCAAAAGATTCAATAGCCCATCCAACAGTTCCGAGCCCATCTTCTTGCGAAGTTCACTCTTTATGCCCATTAAAGTCTATGCAAGGCAACACTGAGGAAAGCCCTTTCTGCACGGCCAACAATAGCCCACAATTCTACTCGGCTTCATCAAGGAGTGGTAGCTCTAAGAGAGGTCCATTCACTCCCTCTAAGAGTGACGGATCAAGAAGCAACCTAAGTGGTCACTACCCCAGTTACATGACTTGCACTGAATCTTCAAGGGCTAAGGTGAGGTCCCTCAGTGCTCCAAAACAAAGGCCCCAATTTGAGAGCTCTGTTTCATCCAAAAGGTACTCAGTTCATGGGTATGGTGAGTCCAGATCAAGCAGCCTAAGGGTTTCCGCCAACTTTGCAAACAAAGCTTATCTGGGGTCTGGTCGTTTGGAGAGGCTTGGAATGCCTGTGAGAGGCGATGCAATTTGGCTCAATGCTGGCCACTGGAACAGATACTAGAATAGCCTTTTTTTCTTCTTTCTTCCTTCCTATTTTTATAATTGGTGTCCAAGCTAGTTGCACCCTAACTAAAATGCCTTTTGAGGGTTTTGAGTCCTCTTGTTTATCAAATTAATCTTCCTAACTAATGTACTTAGCTACCGTTTTTTGTCTGTTTTGCTAGGTGAATCTATGTTTATGCTTTAAGGCTAATTTGAATCTAACTAATTGTTACGAGTTCTATATGCACTTCATAGACTTGATTTTTAATGAGTAGCGGTGGAGGTTATGCACACAAGAGCTGGTAGTTATTTGACAGTTACTAGGTTTTGATGAAAAGGTAGTTTATTTTTTGAAAGTGAGTTCACCTTCGACATGTAGATTTATTATTAGGAATCTGGATCCTTTTTAGGTTGTGATTCGTTCATGGATTTGGATAGAGATTTAAAATGAAAAAGGAAAGGGAAAGAAAAAAATAGGTGAAGTGTGAATGAAATATTTCACACATCTTCCACACACTTTTTTCTTTTTCCTTTCCAAATCCCTACTCAAATCCATGAATGAAATACAACATTAGTAGTCCACCTATAGCGCATCATGTACTGTCCTAAAACAAGAACTTACACACAAAAAAATAGAGCTCCCTTTTCATCTTCGCCTCCTCATCCCCCTTCCCCTCTAGAGATCACCCTCTCCCACTCTTGACCCCACCCTCCCCTTCTCTTAGACCACCGCCAACCACCCCTCCCCAACCACACAATCCCTATTTCTTTTTTTTCTCCTCCTCCTCCTCATTTTTTGAGGTGAGCAAGAGGACGAAGAAAAGAAAAGAAGAGGAAGAGAAAAGAGGAAGTGGGTAGGTTCATGGCAGCAGATAGCAAGAAGGGGTAGGGGTGAGGAAGGCATTACAATGGCGAGGTTAGGTTGGAGAGGGACAACAAGGGTTAAGGTCACGGTAGTGGTGTTGATAAGTGAAGAGATGGGTTGGAAAAGGGTTAAGGGTAGCGACTGGCTTTGTAGAGAGATAAGGGTTGTTGGAGAAGGGCAGATAAAGTTGGTCGGAACTTCTAAGGATTAAGAGAAGATGGATGATAAGGTGGGGCAGGCGGTGGCCAAAAGAGGAGAGCTCTAATTTTTTTTTTAAAAAAAAAAACCAAAACAAAACAAAATAAAACAAAACGATATCATTTTAGGGCACTACAAGGAACAACTACAGAAGATCCAAATTATATGAAGGTGAATCACACTTTCAGAAAATAGCTACCTTTTTCATCATAATCTAGTAAATTCACATATACATGGCTGGATATATGATAACATGTTGTGTGTGTGATTTTCTGACCACACTGCCCGCTTAGTAAACAGCTGGAGAGCACTGGCAGAATAGATGGCACCTGACTGACCTGCAACAGAAATATAAGAATCCCGCGGTGGTTTCGACCACCCGGGGGCACTCCGACGATCAAGTCAGTATATCTCTCAAAGATAAATCAAATACTAAACTCACAAGCTTGAGTATCAAAAGCATACCTTAAACCCATGGGGGTGCCTCTCTTTTATAGCTAATACAATCCTAGTCCCAATAGGAGCCTGGCCCCAATGGACTCAGGATTACTGCTAATCTGGGACTCCCAGTGGGATTAGGATAAACTCTCTAAGAGTCTTATCTTTACCCAAACTAAAGTCTTCTCCCAATCTAGGACTCTTGTCTATATCCAAGTTGAGTTCCCTCTTCATTCTAGGACTCTTGCACCTCATCCGCTTATCTCGGATTCCGATATCTTTGAAGGCAACCTCGGCTTCGTCGAGATGACCTCGGCACAACGACCAAGACACGTGGCACCTCGGCTGACACGTCGGCTGTAGACACCCCATTTTTGACCAACCTTAAGACTTAGACGTCACCAGTTGAGCGCTTGGTGATGTTGCATAATGTGCTCGTTCAGAAGTTTCAGAGTCGCGGCCGTGAGCCCTGCCTCCGGACTTCCGAACCCTCTTCTGTGCCTTGCCTCGGTTTGCGAACCAGGCTCAGTTTTCTCTGTTTCTTTTCCTGAGGGGAGGGAGAGGTCCTGTAGACAGTCTCTCAGTGGCCGTGGGCTACATTTGGTGGTCGTAGGCCATTTTGCCCATTTCGGAGCCCGGTTTCCGGTTTTTCGGGACCGTTGCCCATGTGCCTCGGTTCTGGACCGCCTAACCATCTCCGTTTGCTCTGATTTTCGGCATACTTCTTATTTACTCCCTTTTTAGGGACACTGGGGTCTGAGAAACCCACTTCGTGGCCGAACGCCACTTTCGGTGCTTAGCAGCCCTTTTTCGGGACCCCAAACTGCGTGTTTTGGCCCTCGAGGGTTCGTTTTGCATCGGTTCTTGTTCATTTTTGGCAGGTGCCTCTGTTTTATCACCAGGGAGGTCACTGGAGGGTGGGAGGCCAGTAATTATCTTGGCAACCAGTTATATTCCATTTTCGCCCTTCGACACCCGTTTTTCGCACTTCCGAGCCAATGTTGAACACCTTGGAGCTACTTTCTTCAACCCCAAACCACATATTTGTGATGTACACACATGGGAGGACCCTAAAAGTTCATGGCCGGCCAGAAATTCCATTTGACCCTTTTGAACCCCTCCTTCCGAGCCAATGTTGAACAACCTGGGCCCTTTTTCTTGAACTTTGAACCACATATTTGTGTTGTACACACATGGGAGGATCCTAATATCATATGGTCGGCCATTAATTCCATTTGAACCTTTTGAACCCCTCCTCAAATTGGCTTGTTCTCTCTCCTGTTTCAGAGTTTCCAAATTCGAACCACAGGGCTGTGAAGAGGAGACCTGGGAGGCCACAATCATGTGGTGGCCGGCCACTAAATCAGCTTGACCCTTTTGACCCCTAGCCGGCCGGCTAGGGGGTGTAGCCGGCCGGCCACCTGCAACCAAAATAACTGGCCGGCCGAGATCCTCACACTGTTCACTTTACAGCTGTATAGCTTTATCCCCCAGAAAATATCAATATCCGGGGGATATTTTGTGGGGGAAAGTTGGCCTCCTTTTCCCCCACCTTTACACCCCCTTTTTGGTCCTTATAACCAGCTGCCAACATGCATTATAGGGGTTGGAACAAAATTGCTTTGAGGCTTGACATAAAACTCTCCCTCTATCTCTCTCATTTTCTCAAAAACTTCCAAGTTTTAGCCTCATTTCTTCATCATCATCAAGCTCCACCACCACCACTCCATTCCAGCAACAAGGAGGGTTTCTCAGAGGCTAAAGGTGCTGCAACTTGGTCCAAGAAGCAACAAAAGACTTGTCTCCAAGGGTGAGTTGCCATTTCCCCTTTTTGAACTTTTCTTGCAACATTTCTTAGCTATTCTATGCTTTTTTGCTTTGAGCTCCGGCCATAACTGAAAGTGGCCTTCTTTTGAGCTCATTTTCACTTTTGATATAGGCTCAACCTTGTTTGAGCCCTCCATGTTGCACTTGCTTCAATATCCTCCTTAAATACCGTTTCTTGCATGCTTTGGCAGCCCATTATGCTTCCATTTTTGGATGATTTACAGGCCTAGAGATGGCCTTATTTTGACCTTCTTAACATGTTTCATTAAGGTCTTTGGCCATTTGTGGAATATTTTGCATACTTTGTGTTATAGCCACTTTTGAGCCTCATTTTGCATTGCATTTTTAGCATGTTTGTATACAGTTTTGTAGTTTTTACAGTTCTGTAAACATCTTATTTTTGGCCCCTCTTCAATGTTGTTGAAGGGCCCTAACCTGTTTGAGGACAGCAGCTATGAGTTGCTTCTAATCCCATGTTTAGGGCCATTTCTTGCATGCTAGTTTTGCCCTGTCTTGGTTTGCTGTTTGGCCATGTTTTGAACTGGAAAAATGCTTATTTTGAGGCTGCCTTGCTTCTGTCTTTTCATCTCGTGTACCAATTATGCATGTTTGGTATAGCTATAGGCCATTTCGGGTGCCTAATTTTGCATTTCGGGAGAAATTCCATGCATCGGGTGTGATTTCGCCTCATTTCGGGGCTGCTTTCCCCCACTTTTCAGTGCTGAAATCCCATTACCATGTTTGCATATCATTTTCCATGCATAGTTCGCATTTTTGCATTGCCTCGATTTGCGTGCCCGTCTGCACCATTTCGAGGCACTTCATTTTCATCTACCGGCCTCTTATGTGAGTGTGGCTGAGGCTCTCTCATGTTAGTATAAGTCCATGTTGCATTCTATATGCCATTTTTGCCATATTGCATTGCGTATGCCATGCCTCGGTTTGCGTGCCCGTGTGCACGCATTTTGAGGCACTTCATTTTCATCTATCGGCTTCTTATGTGAGTGTGGCTGAGGCTCTTCATGTTAGTATAAGTCCATGTTGCATTCTATATGCCATTTTTGCCATATTGCATTGCATATGCCATTGCCTCGGTTTGCGTGACCGTGTGCACGGATTTCGAGGCACTTCATTTTCATTCATCGGCTTCTTATGTGAGTGTGGCTGAGGCTCTCTCATGTTAGTATAAGTCCATGTTGCATTCTATATGCCATTTTTACCATATGCATTGCATATGCCATTGCCTCGGTTTGCGTGCCCGTGTGCACGCACTTCGAGGCACTTTATTTTCATCTACCGGCTTCTTATATGAGTGTGGCTGGGGCTCTCTCATGTTAGTATAAGTCCATGTTACATTTTCCATGCCATTTTTGCCATTATGCATTGCGTATGCCATTGCCTCGGTTTGCGTGCCCGTGTGCACGCACTTCGAGGCACTTTATTTTCATCTACCGGCTTCTTAGGTGAGTGTGGCTGAGGCTCTCTCATGTTAGTATAAGTCCATGTTACATTTTCCATGCCATTTTTGCCATTATGCATTGCGTATGCCATGCCTCGGTTTGCGTGCCCGTGTGCACGCACTTCGAGGCACTTCATTTTCATCTATCGGCCTCTTATGTGAGTGTGGCTGAGGCTCTCTCACGTTAGTGTAAGCCCATATCACATTTTCAGGTCATTTGCATTGCGTATGT